TTTTATTATTCTGTTCTGTTCTGTATTTTATTATTCTGTTCTGTTCTCTTGTATTTTATTCCTATTCTGTATTTTATTCTGTTCTGTATTTTATTATTCTGTTCTGTATTTTATTATTCTGTTCCGTTGTATTCTATTCCTATTCAGTATTTTATTATTCTATTCTGTTCTGTTGTATTCTATTCTTGTCCAGTTAATTACTGCAGCGTGGTTTGTGGGGATTTTTAGTTACGGTTTGTATGTACTTTGTTTTTGGACTTAATTTTCTGCAGCCAAAGGCTGTTCCTGGGAGAGTTTGTTCTCCAGCCGAACGTAACCTGGACATTGGGGGCAAAATTGGAGATAGTAAAGGGACTCTTATTGCTAATTTGACTGTGTTGCCTTTGTGCTATGCCCCGGATCATCACGATTCTATTCTACTCTGTATTTTATTATTCTATTCTATTCTATTCTATTCTATTCTATTCTATTCTATTCTATTCTATTCTATTCTATTCTGGATTTTATTATTATCTTCTCTTCTCTCTTATTCTATTCTATTCTGTTCTGTTTATTATTCTATTTTGTTCTGTTACTATTCTGGATTTTATTGTTCTGTTCTATTCTCTTTCATTCTATTCTGTGGTTTATTATCCTCTCCTCTCCCCTCTTCTATTAGTTGCAAGTAAATTCTAGTATAGCACAATGGGACAAATCCAGACACCGTGGCTCATGAATGATGCTTTATGTCCGGTGACCAGGTTGAATGGCTCAAACCACGGCTCAAACAAGCCATGATTCAAATACCCCTACCCCAAAGCTTTAGATGGGCCTATTTCTCAAGCTACATGTTTTGACTGAGCCAGGCCCAAATTCAAACCCTCCTTTTCTGTTATTCTTATTCTCCCTCTCCTACCTTGCAGGGCTGTTGTGCGAATAAAACCGAGAGAGGGTGAAAATTAAGTGTTTCAGATTACTTTAGAGTAGTGTTTCCTCAATTTTGGAAGCTTTAAGAAGTGTAGATTTCGACTCCCAGAGTTTCCTGGCACTAATGCATCCCTTTTGAGGTGGCCTGTTGACTCTTTTATAATCCTTTTCTCTGCAATCTCTCTGCTTTTTAAAGGATAAGAGGGGAAAAGAAACCAGGCGTGGCTGGTTGGAGAATTCTGGGAGTTGAAGTCCACCCTTCTTAAAAGGCTCCCAAGCTCGAGATACACCGGTTTAGAGGAAAGAGCGGGTTGATGAAACCACGGGAGAAGGAATCCACCGGGGATCTTAGGCCGTTGTTCGGTCTTGGGGCACGGCTACCAGGAGAAGGAGACGAATCCGTCTTACCGGGACCAGCAATTCGTTCGGCAAGATGAACAAGCCGCCTACTCCGATGCGCATCTGAGGGGTGGGCTGGTTCGCGATCGGGTGGGAGACGTGGCTTAGGGTGAGTTGGTCGTCTCCGTCGACCAACAACATCACGAAGTGTCCTTCGTTCCTCACCGCGATCTGTCCGGAAGTCACAAGAGAAGTTGCATACGGGAATAGAGGAACAGGAAGGTCAGAAAGAACCGGGGGATACCCCCCGCCAACAAGAGGACGTGGCCAACATAGAGGTGGGGCAGGGGGCGCTCTCCTTTAGCTGATAGGTAGTCCTCGACTTACGACCAGCTCCATTTCAATGCCTCATCAGCCTGCGGAACTCCCTGACACAAGATGCAAGCAAATATATGAGAATAGCTTTTGACTGATGTTCGTTTAGTGACTGTTACGTTTTTTCTTTTTCTCTTTTTCCCTTCCTCCCTTTCTTTTTATCTCCATCCCTTTCTATCTCTCTTTCCCTCTCACTTTTTCTCCTCCTCTCCCTCCCTTCCTCTTTCTCTCTTTTCTTTCTGTCTCTTTCTCTTCTCCTCCCTTTCTCTCTTTTGGTCCCTCCCTTTTTCTTTTTCTCTCATTTTCCTTCCTTCCTTTCTTTTTATCTCTCCCTCACTTCCTCTCTCTTTTTCCTCTCTCTTTCCCTCCCTCCCTTTCTCTTTCTTTCTCTCTCTCTCACATTCTTTCAATCTCTCTCACCCTCCCTTTCTCTTTTGCCCCCTCCCCTTTTCTCTTCCTCTTCCTTTCTTTCCTTTAGTGAGCTACAATGGCACTGGGAAAAAAAAAAAAGACTTCCGATCATGTTTTGCACTTACGACCGTTGCAGCATCCCCTGGGATCACGTGGCTGAAATTCAGACTCTTGGCAACTGCCTCACATTTATGACAGTCGCCGTATCCCGGAGGTCACGTGGATTCCCTTTTGCGACAAGCAAGGTCAATGGATCTGCTTAATGGCCGCACGATTCACTTAACGCCGGCGGCTACTCAATCAACGACAGGGGTGAAAAAACAAGGCGCCACGTCGCTCAATGACCTTCCTCGCTTAGCAACGGCAATTCTGGTCTCGAGGGTGGCCGTAAGCCGAGGACCGCCTATCACCCAGCCACCCCATCTTACCCGATGCCACTGGCCATCGTTGAGGTGTTGCCCTCCGGAGACGGTGACGTTGGTGAGGGTGTTATGGATCTGCATGATGGGTTTCCCCCGACGTAACGCGAGGACGAACCAGTCATTGCCAGGACTGGTGTCCCCATAGAAGATCACCCCTTCTGGGTCAAAGGTCCGGAAGTCGAAGGAGGAAGCTGCACTGGGTGGGGAGGAACAGGGAGGGTCTCAGCGGGGGAGAAATCGGTGGGGCAGTCTTGCTGCAGACCCCTCCTGGATGGGGAAGGCACGGCACAGGGGGGTTGGGGGCAGGGTGATCACCATCCACACCTCCCTCTCTCTTTTTTCTCCACTTTTTCTCTTTTTTTTTCTGTCTCTTTCTCTTTCCTTTTCTCTCTATGTCTTTCTCTTTTTCTGTGTCTTTGTCTGTCTCTCTTTTCTCACTCTTTCTTTCTCTCCATTTCTCTTTTTCACTTTTGCTTTCTCCCCCTTTCTCTTTTTCTCTGTCTCTCTCTTTTTCTCTCCGTCTTTCCCATTTTCTGTCTTTGTCTGTCTGTCTCTTTCTATTTTCTCTTTCCTCTTTCTCTCCCTTTCTCTTTCTCTCTATCATTTTTTCCACTTTTTCCTTCTCCCTTTCTTTTCTTTCTTTTTCTCTCTGTACCTTTCTCTTTTTCTGTGTCTGTGCCGTGTTTTCTTTTCTCTTTCTCTCTCTCCCTTTCTTTTTCTCTTTTTCTTTCTATCATTCTTTTTCACTTTTTCTTTCTTTCTTTTTTCTGTCTCTTTTTCTCTCTCTCTCTTTCTCTTTTTCTCTATCTTTGTCTGTCTCTTTTTCTTTTCTTGTTCTTTTTCTCCTTTTCCCTTTTATCTAGCTTTCTTTTTCTCTTTCCTTCTATCATTCTTTTTCGCATTTTCTTTTTCTCCTTTTCTCTTTTTTCTTTCTCTTTCTTTTTCTCTCTGTTTCTCTTTCTCTGTCTTTGTTTCTGTCTTTTTCTTTTCTCTTTCTCTTCTTTCTTTCTGACTCTTTTTCTCTGTTTTTGTCTGTCTTTTTCTCTTTCTCTCCTTTCTCTTCCTCTTTTCTTTCTGTCTCTTTTTCTCTTTCTCTCCTTTCTCTTTCTCTTTTCTCTTTTTTTCTCTTTCTCTTCTTTCTTTCTGACTCTCTCTTTTTCTCAGTTTTTGTCTATCTGTCTCTTTTTCTCTTTCTCTCCTTTCTCTTTCTCTTTTCTTTCAGTCTCTTTTTCTCTTTCTCTCCTTTCTCTTTTCTTTCTCTCTTTTTCTTTTCTCTTTCTCTTCTTTCTTTCTGACTTTCTCTTTTTCCTCTGTTTTGGTCTATCTGTCTCTTTTTCTCTTTCCCTCCTTTCTCTTTCTCTTTTCTTTCTGTTTCTTTCTTTTTCTCTCTTTTCTTTCTCTTTTTTCTCAGACAGAAAAAAACACACAAGGTAGACCAGATCTGGAAAGCAAAGTGCCGCATTCAAAACCACTTTTCTTGTAAGGTGATTGCAGCGGGATCTCGCATGTATGTCTGAATGTGCCCCTCCTTGTATTTGGGTCAGACTAGGGAGGGTGTCGGCTGCGAGGCACTTTCTCTGATTGCAGTTCTGGGCGAGCCTCATATTCCCTTTATAGCTCCACTTCGTCTGACCATTATATTCCCCATGCTAGCATTTTCCCTCTCTTTCTCTTTCTTTTCCTCTTTTTTCTTTCTCTTTCCTTCTCCCTCTCCCCCTCCCTTTTTTCTTTTCCTCTCTTTTTCCTTCCTCTTTCTTTTTCTCTCCCTCTTTCCCTTTTTCTCTTTCCCTTCCTCTCTTTCCTTCTTTCTCTTCCCCTCTCTTTCTCTCTTTTTCTCCCTCCCTTTCTTTCTCTTCCACATTCTTTCAATCTCTTTCACCCTCCCTTTCTCTTTTGCTCCCTCCCTCTTTCTCTCCATTCTCTATCTCCCTTTCTCTTCCCCTCTCTTTTCTCTTTCTCTCTCTTCCTTCCTTTCTTTCTCTCCCCCTTCTCTTTCTTGCTTTCCCTTTCTCTCTTTTCCTCTCCCTTTCTCTCTCTTTCATCAACTCCCCTTTTCTCTTCCTTTTTCTCCTTGCCTCCCTTTCTCTTTTTCTTTTTTCTCTCTCCCTCCCTTTCTCTCTCTTTCTCTCTTCCTC